GGGAGCTGTGCTAGTGCTGGCTGTCCTGGGTGAGTAGCCCCCGGCTGTGGGTTTTGTGCTGCGGCCCAGCAACGCACCGGGAACTCAACACACGTTGCTGGGGCTCAATGCCAGAATCACTGAGCGGCGGCCTCTGGCCTGGGGGATACAGGAGGTCAGACTAGATGATCCAAATGGTCTCTTCTAGCCTTGAAATTTGTGATTCTGGGACAACTGTGCCAGATTCTCAGTTGCTATAAATTGCCTTAGTGTCATTGATTTACACTGCCTGGGGATCTGGCCCATTGACTGCAATGGAGCTACGGACGAGTCACACCAGCTGGGATCCGGCCCATTGACTCCAATGGAGCTACATTGATTCTCACTGGCTGGGATCCGGCCCATTGACTCCAATGGACCTACGGCCAATTCATATCAGGTGGGCTCCGATGGAGCCATAGGCACTGACGACAGGGGTGCTCTGGGCCTCAGGCACCCACAGAAAAAGAACAGGGGTTCAGGAGCCACCAGCCACAGTGGTTCGGCGTGGCCCCAGGGCTGGCTGCCAATCAGCTGTTCAGAGGGCAGGGGAGGGGGATGGGGCAGGGGAAGAGAAGGGGATGGGGTAGGGGACAGTGGGGAGAGGAAGGGACAGGGGATGGGGAATGGGGATCTCAGGGAAGGGGGAGGAGCGGGTGCATGAAGAGGCGTAGCAAGGACGGGGACTTGGGGGAGAGGCGGAGCAAGGGCGGGGCCTCGGGGGAGAGGCGGAGCAAGGGTGGGACCTCAGGACGGAGCGGGGGTGGAGCACCCTCTGGGCACTCCAAAAATCAGCGCCTGTGGATGGAGCTACGACCAATCTACACCAGCTGGAATCTGGCCTTGTCTTTTCCTATTCTTCACTTCTATTTATCTTGAAGTTGGCCAGCGCCCATCCCAGAATTGCCAGATGGCAGCCGTCCCGCAGACCTCTCCGAAGAGCGACTCATGTGAGATAAGTCGAAACACAACACCGTACCACCGTACATTGGAGAATTTCCAATCTTGCTTGAAGCAAAACTTGTGTGAGGTGGAAAACAGCTCGGCAGGTAACCCCCGCGCATCATATATCCAACCCGTCACTCACCCTCACTGTTACACACCCAGATGTTTACATAAAGCCGAGACACCTTCGTTCCCACGCCCTCTCTTCCCATCCCTCCTTTCATGAGCCTCTATAATATCACCAGGAACCTACAGCCTCAGTGCGACAGCTAGTGGCCAGCCAGGGTGGTCAGAGCCCTGGAGCCATAATAGTGTAATAACATTTTATATTTCTTTAGCTGATACGCGTATTATATGTGTAGCACCTAGAGGCAGTAACTGATATTAGAGCCCTGTTGTGCCGGGCGCTGCACAGACACACAGCGAGAGACAGGCCCTGCCCCAGCTGAGATCAGGGCCCCATTGTGCCGGGCGCTGCACAGACACACAGGGAGAGACAGTCCCTGTCCCAGCTGAGATCAGGGCCCCGTTATGCCGGGCGCTGCCCAGACACACAGGGAGAGACAGTCCCTGTCCCAGCTGAGATCAGGGCCAGCATTGACTGACATTAGCATACTCCCTACTGAGCCCTGCAGCACAGCGCCCCCTAGCACTGCACAGGTGCAATGGGGTCAGCAGTGTCTGCAAGGTGAGAGCGCCTCCTATTGAGCCTCTGATAGCCTAACACAGCACCCCCCAGTGCCACACTGGGGCATTGGCGCCAGTAATGGCTGTGAAGGGAGAGTACCCCCTACTGAGCCCCCCGCTCCACTAACCTGCAGTACAGCGCCCCCTGGCATCACACGGAGGTATTGGGGTCAGCAGTGACACAAGAGCACCCAATGATGTTATGATGTTGCCACGCTCCCCAGAGCTGTGCCAATCCGCTGCATGTTGTCTCACTAAAACACTGAGTGGGAAGGCTCCATGCGTCTCTGCGGGGGAAACTGGTCAGAGCTGGTAGAATGATCAGACCCGTTATTGATAACGGTTCCATTTCCCCATCCAGAGGGCTCCGGGTGCAAACTCTGCCCCAGGCACTGGGTGCCGCACAGGGACAAGTGCTACTGGCTTTCTGAAGAGAATCAATACTGGAGCAGGGGCCGTGATGACTGCTCACGGAGGAGATCTCACCTGCTAGTGATCCAGGACCGGGAGGAACTGGTAAAGAACGTGCTAAACTTCACCATATTTGTGTCCTTGTTAATGAGGGCAGGTCAAGAAGCCCTCTTTTTATTTTTCTATCAACAAACTTTTGAAAGTAACATTTTCATTCACAATTTTTCTATTTTTCACTGGAAAATTTGAGAGTGAAATGAGATGAGATGTTCGTTTTGATTTTCAGAAACCAAACTTCTTTTTAAAACTTCAAACTTTTCTCTCCCCCCTTTTTTTTGACCACTGAATCCGATGGGATGAATAATGATATTTTTCCACTTATTCCATATTTGCAGCAGAAAAAAGGGAACTTTTCAAAATGTCCTCAACTTTGGGATAGTTAGAGAGGCAAAAGGAAATATTTTGTTCTAAATTATCTGTTTCCATTCAAGAGAGAGATCTTGGAGTCATTGTGGATATTTCTCTGAAAACATCTACGCAATGTGCAGCGGCAGTCAAAGAGTTAATAGCATGATAAGAACCATTAGGAAAGTGTTAGATAATAAGACAGAAATAGCTCAGTGGTTTGAGCATTGGCCTGCTAAACCCAGGGTGGTGAGTTCAATCCTTGAGGGGGCCATTTAGGGATCTGGGGCAAAAAATCTGTCTGGGGATTGGTCCTGCTTTGAGCAGGGGGTTGGACTAGATGACCTCCTGAGGTCCCTTCCAACCCTGATATTCTATGATAACGCGGTTTCTATGAAAATATTATAATGCCTCTATGTAAAGCCATGATACGCCCACATCTTAAATACTGCGTGCAGTTCTGGTTGCCTCATCTCAAAAAAGATATATTAAAATTGGAAAAGGTTCAGAGATGGTCAATGAAAACGATTAGGAGTATGGAACAGCTTCCATAAGAGGAGAGATTAAAAAGACTGAGATTGTTCAGTTTAGAAGAGAGACAATTAAGGATGGATATGATAGAGGTCTATAAAATCATGCAGAGAAAGCGAATAGAGAAGTGTTATTTACTCCTTCTCCTAACACAAGAACTAGGGGTCACCCAATGAAATTAATAGGCAGCAGGTTTACAACAAACAAAAGGCAGTATTTCTTCACACACGCACAGTCAACCTGTGGAACTCTTTGCTAGAGGATGTTGTGAAGGTCAAAAGTATAACTGGGTTCAAAAAAGAATTAGATAAATTCATGGAGGATAGGTCCATCAATGGCTATTAGTCAAGATGGTCAGGGATGCAACCACATGCTGTGGGTGTCCCTTAATTTCCAAACACCAGAAGCATCTGGCATGGGCCACTGTTGGAAGACAGCATACTGGGCTAGATAGACCATTGGTATGACCCAGTATGGCCATTCTTATGTTCTTAAACAAGGAGGAGGAAAATCCTGCTGGAAAAAAAAAAAGTTTTGACTGAAAATTTTCCACTGGCTTCACTGTTAATATTGTCTTTATTTTCTGAGAACATTATCATGAACTCTAGCTGGATTAACATTAGGTGTAGTGATATCACAGAGACTGAATATAAAAACCTAGATAATAAACAAAACTCCATAAAAATATAGATTTGGGTTTATATATTTAAAATAATTTTGACAGACATCTGTTTATTCTTTAGCATTTTAAAAAATATATCTATTAAAATTTTCAGTTGTGCAAAATTATGAGTTTTAAGCATTTGTTATCAATTTTTATGTATTTAAATTTTCATAATTGTGGAAAATCATGGGGCGGGGTCAGACACTGGGCAGGGAGGTCCGACCATAATTATTTATTATCAGTAGAAGCTGAGATTCAAAAAGATAAAGCTTTATAACTATCAAAATATACACATTAAGAATCCTTAAATCAAACTCCAAGTTCTCAAGCAGCATTTTTCTTACTTTGCCTACCTGTAAATTTCGATTATTGTCAGTGGAAATATTTTTTCATCAGGTTGTGTGTGTACGGTGAAGTCGATGTTTACCGATAAAAATCTAATCTTTCCAAGCCTAAGTATATTGAAATAAATACATTAATAGTAGATCCCAAAGCATTTTATGGTCTTAAAACGATTAGGTACAAACTAGAGACAGGGATTGTTCAGCTATCACTGGGCTGCGGCTACCTCTGGGGTGGGGCAGCTGGGTAACAGCTGTATAGCAACGTTGCACAGGGTTTGTTCACTCAGTACAGAATCATGCCCTATATGGAAAGAGGTGCAGTAGCTGGATAATAGCGGAGAGTTTGCCCAGAGCTGAAATGTTACTAATTATTTATTAGAGCTGTGTTTTTTAAAAAAAAAAAAAAAAAAAAAAAAGCACAAATTTTTTTTTAAATTTTCATTCAAAAAAGTTGAGAATGTTCACTGAAGTTCAATGAAAATTTTAAATAAAATTAATCAAAATCTTGATGGAGGGGAACAGGACTGACTCAGTTATTAATTAGTAGTGTAAATTATTTGTTATGTTTACTTTCAATTGGAGTTTCAGCTAGTCCTGATTCGTCACCAGTATTAATGATCAAAACCCAAACTAGAGATCAGGTCTCATTTGCATTGTGAGCAAAGGAGCCAGAGAATTCTACCATGTTCTGTTCTCTCTGACACTGTGTCCATATCACAGGAGTTCACACAGAAAATTACAGGAAATCAAATTCCGGTGTGGATTGGACTCAACATCACATCCCCAGGGAGGAAGTGGACCTGGGTGGATGGTTCCCCGTTAAATCAAACGCTGTGAGTGTTTCTTGATGAGTATTTGACATCAGTCTGCAATAAATACATAGTGTGAAATACTGGACCCCATTAAAGTCAATGGCAAATCTGCTGTTGACCTCCATGGGGCAAAGATCTCATCCATTAAATCTTACAGTGTAAGGGCCTCAATCCTGCAAACACACATGGGGTTAATTTTAAGTCTCATTGCAGTGAATGGCAGTATGCATGGGAGGAAATCGAAGCAAGTACATAAATGTTTGCAGGATCAGGGTCTGTGTTTGCATGGCCCCACACTCCTGGGCAGAACTGGTTACAAAATGGGGAGAAACATGATCTTTTTTCAATTTTTTCTTGTTTTTGTCAACATCTGAGATTTTAAAATTCAAAAGCTGATCAATTTCAAAACTGAGAAAGTCCCAACTGCCTCCATAGTTGGTCAAAAAACTAGCTCAAAAAGCCACTCAAAATTCATCAAAACTTCCCCGTTTTTTCATTGAAATTTGAAATTGACTCAACTTTTCATGTAAGTTTCAAAAGCAGAACATTTGCATCTGTTCTAAAGATTGGCCTCTCTGCACTAGCACTCTGATTAATCACTTTGCTGCAAGTTTCTGTACCATGTGCCCTCTCCATCAGGTCTGGACTTAACATATCAACTCGTTTCATGTATTAGTCTATCTGGAGAAGGACTAGAGATGACGGCTGGACCCCCAGCATCCTGGAAGGAAGGAGAATAGCTGCGATAGACCCTCTTCCCCACCTCTAAACCCACTGATTGTGACTGTCTCCTTCACTCCTTAGATTCAAGGTATCGGGTCCTGCTGAAGAGAACAGCTGTGCTGCAGTAAAGAAGAATCAGATCAAGTCTGAAATCTGCAACACTGACTATAAATGGATTTGCCAGAAGGAAGCTGTGCTCATTTAAATGCGGGGATTGGCGACCTCTGTCTGCATATATGGAATGCAGAACATCCTGGGTTCTCATCTCCATTGCAGCTAACAAAGCCTCAGGCAGTGTAAAAGCGCCGATAAAGTGAATGGCGCAATGCTGATTTACACCCATTGTGGGTCTGGGCCCATTGCCTCCAATGAAGTTGCGGCCAGTTCACACCAGCTGGAAATCTGGCCCTTTGATTATTTTTTAAAAATAATAAATCTATAATTTTTTCAGTGTTCTAATATTGTCTTCAGAGTATTAAAAGATTCCTGGGACATTATTGTATACATGATGGTAACACCTAGAGGCCCCAGCTGAGATCAGGGCCCCATTGTACTGGTCACTGCAGACACACAGCGAGAGACAGACCCTGCCCCAGCTGAGATCAGGGCCCCGTTGTGCCAGGCACTGCACAGACACACAGCGAGAGACAGTCCCTGCCCCAGCTGAGATCAGGGCCCCGTTGTGCTGGGCGCTGCACAGACACACAGGGAGAGACAGGCCCTGCCCCAGGGAATTTACAATCAGAGTCTGAGATTCCAAGTCCCCTCAGGGTGTCAGGTGTTCAAATCCCAATGAAATACAACTCTTAGGCTCCTCTGAAAATCAAAGCCTGAATGGACAGAGCAAACGTTACTATCTACATTTAATAAATGGGGGAATTGAGGCCCAGTGATTACAACAGGAGTGTAAAACAGAGGGTGTGTCTACACTACAGGGACTATATTGGCATAGTGAGATGCCATAACTATGCTGGTGAACCCTGTAGTGTAGACGCAGCCTACAGCAACGGGAGCGGTTTTTCCTTGGTGCAGGAACACCAGCTCCCTGTGCAGGTTGACAGACGCACTCTTCCATTGACCCAGTTGTGTCTACACTGGGGGGTTAGGCTGGCTTTGCTCCCATGCTCAGGGGTTGGATTTATCCCACCTCTGAGAGGCCTCATTACCCAACTTACATTTTAAGTGTAAACCAGGCCAGAGCCAAGAACTGGAGGGAGAACACTTGTGCTGCAGTTCAAGGTCTTATCCACAAGGGCATTCCTCTTACTCCCTGCATCCACTGAGTGTGACAGAACCCTGCGTGGGATACTCAGGGCCTCCAGGGGGTAGCACTCTTTCCTTTAAGCCGGTATTTCTTTGTCATCGGCCTGGCTTTTAGCTGGTTGAGTTCCCAGTGTTAGCTCAACGCTAGTCTTTTTGCGTGGAATTTCCTCCTTTATTTAAACTGTGTTTTGGAAAAATACATAAAAATGGACACTAGGGATTGCCGGCTCTCTGGATCCAGAATCCGCTTTGTTTAAAAAGACCAGCTCAATCTGAAATGTAGGGACAGATTCTTAACTTGTGTAAACTGTCATACGTCCACTGATGGAGGTATGACAGCTTACGCCATTTGAGGATTTGGCCCATAGAGTTTAAAGCAGCCTCAGTCCATAAGTGTTAACTCCGTGGGTGCTCTGGGGCTGGAGCAGCCATGGGAAAAAAATAGTGGGTGCTCTGTACCCAGTGGTGGCCCCACCGATTGGCTCCTCCCCCCTCCCTCCCAGCAACTCCAGCCCACCCTGAATCAGCTGTTCAGTGGCGCGCAGGAGGCGCTGAGGGGGGGTGGGGGCGGAACAGGGCGGGAAGAGGCAGTGCGGGGTGGGGCCTTGGAGGAAGGGGTGGAGTGGGGGCAGGGCTTGGGGCGGAGCAGGGGTTGAGCACCCCCAGGGAAATAAGAAAGCCGGCGCCGTACCTAAGTCTCCTGCCAATTTTTGTGGTTTTAAACAAGGATTATTCTCATCTCAGCATATGAAAGATGCACAAACAGGGGCACTGGACTAAGATGCAGTTTTTGGCCGTTATACAAAATACAGTTAAATGAGCAAAGTAACCAAAATAAATATAAATTCCAGAAACGGAAGGAAAAAAGCCGCAGATTTTTAAGGCCAGACAGGACCATTCCGATGATTTCGTCTGATCTCCTGCGAAACACAGGCCAGAGAATCTCATCCGGTGATTCCGGCCCAGAGCCCAATCCGTGTGGCTGAGCGACAACTCTTAGACCAACCCATTCGTGAGTCAAACCACTCACGCGATCACGAATCCGCCATGTCCCTCGGTAAGTTGCTCCGATTGCTAGTTCCGCTCACTGTTAAAAAGGGGGCAGTTTATTGCAGTCTGAATTTGTCTTGCTTCAGCTTCCAGCCATGGGATCTGCCTCAGTGTGTTCGACTCGAGATCTCGATTAGCAATCCTCTTCCCGTGTACACTGTGAACAAGTCTCCCCCGAATCTTGCGTGTGATAAGCGAAGTAGACCGACCTCTTTATGTCACCCACTGCCCGGCATGTTTGTCAGAGCCCAAATCCTTCTTGTAGTTCTCTGAAAGAGCTGCAATTTTTCAACATCTTTGTAAAGAGAAAGCTCTGACCACCTGAGGTAGTAGGTTAAAAAAACCTCGCTCATCTTACAGTGTGATTCTAAGTTAGCAGTTGATCTTCGACACCTCCGGAGCGCATTTGACCACAAAAGAGCAGATATCACTTTCATCAGGCGACAAAAGACACCTAGCACGATTCCACTGCATGTGTGAAATGCGTCTCTTAAATGCTGATTATAATTATAGTTACAATTACCAGGCCATAGCTCAGTGCTCCCCAAACTGTGGGGTGGGGCCCCCTAAGGGGGGGCACAGAGGAACATTTGGGGGGGCCCGGGCCAGCCCCCATGTGGGGCAGGCAGGGAGTGCCACCCAGCCCCCTCTGCCCCCAGCTCTGCCCCACCCCCAGCCACAGCTCCAGTTCCGGCTCGCCACTGGCTCCCGGCCCCAGCTCTACTCCTGGCTGCAGCCCCAGCTGCAACTCCGGCTCCAGCCCCAGCTGCAACTCCGGCTCCAGCCATGGCCCCGCTCCCGGCCCCAGCTGCAGCCCCAATCCCAGTGGGGCAGGGAGCAGGTAA